GTGCTACTGTGGCTGGGGAGGTGGAGTGAGGGGCTCAGACTCCAGCCCACCGGAATCCCCAGCCCCACAGAGCCTGCACCACGGAGACACAAGGCCCATGATGGGGCAGAGGCTCCAAGAGGCCTGCAGGGCTCACGGGAGTGGTTGGCTGAGCTGGGACACCTGCCAGGGGGTGGTTTGGGGAGGCCCCACCAGGGTCAGTTGACCACGCAGGAGAGGCTCAGCCTGGGCTGTAGTGACTCTGGGGAGCAGTGCCCAGGCCCCACCCAGACCACAATGTCCACCACTCCGTTGGGGCCAGTGTGTGGTGGGGCCTCCCATTAGAGGTAGATGTGTGCACGCCAGGGGCAGGGGCCGGTGCAGAGCATTGGCAGGAGTGGCCCAGGAGGCCAGCGGGACCTGAAGCCCTCCTGCATTCACCCAGGCCTCTCGGCCACGCTGAGTTGCCCTGTCTGCACCCCCCTAGGTTTGCACCCGCTGCCCCGGGCTGGCTGCCTGCGCTCCCCTTCCTGGACGAGGACAAGGGCTGAGCAGAACCGCGAAAAGCAGCCCCTAGGTGACCCTGAGCGGCAGGCGACAGTCCTGGACACGTTTCTCACTGTGGAGAGGCCCCAGGAGGACTAAGCCATCTCTGCCTGCCCTCCAGCTCCTGCAGGGCTGGAGTCAGAACATCACGATGGCAGATCTGGGCAGTCCTGACCCAGCAGACACACTTCGCACCCCCACGAGGCTCCAGCCGTCACCTCCTGATACACACCCTGGGGGCAGCTCCCTGCCAGCCCCAAGGCCTGCCTTGTCTGTTGGGCACAGGTCTTAGCCTCACGTGGAGACCAGCCGGCTTTCCTGGGGGACACATGGGGCCCCTGGATGCCTCTGGGAGACCCAGCACAAGCAAAGCCCAGTGGCCTTACGTCCAGCTTGTTCCTGGGCTGAGTCAGGAAGACAGCGCCACAGAGTCACTGCCGGAAACGTGGTGAGGAGTGGAGTGGCCCATGGCGGCCCTGGGGTGAGGGGGACCCAGGCCTGTGACAGCCACTCCAGGAACTCCGGGGGCTGCTCCAACCTCCGCGCTTACCTGTGCTACCAAGCTCAGAAGCCAGAGGCAGGTTTGGTAGTGGCTAATGGGACAATGTGCTGTCCAGCAAAGCACATGGAGGAGCGGCCCCAAAATTCCCACCTTGATTTCCATCCTGCCCCTTCTTCTACTCCACGAGGCACTGTCTCACTAGGGTCCCCTCCCCAAGGCTCAGCTCTAAGACCTGCACCTGCTTCTCTTGGTCCCTGCGTGACAGGCAAGTCCATTCCCTCCTTAGCTCAGAACACCAAATATCACCAGACTGCCTCAGAAACTTGGTGACACCTCCTGGAATGCTCTCGGGGAGGGGTTCACCGTCTCCCTGTCCTGCACCCACTATGAGGCCACATCCTCGTTTCTGCTCACATCCCATTGCCCGGTTACACGGCCTGCCCACAGCCCTTAAACTTGCTGGGCAGGTTTGGGGCCCATGGGACCCGTGGGTCTGTGTCCGGCAGCAGCAGAGGCGGCTGACAGGCCCTGCTCCCTCTGCTCTGGGGTGTCTGGGGGCCCAGCTCATGCCCTCCCAATGCTTATATGCTGAAGCTCACAGAACGGGCTTCCCGCCTGACAGCAAGTCAAAGAATGAGTTTAATACGAAAGTGTAAGCTTACTTTCCATCCGCAAGCCAACCTGCCCCCAGCCCCATTTCCCGTGAGCACACTTCTGGGGAAGGAAAACAGGCTCCTGGCCTTCACTGTCAGTAGAGCTTTGGAGATGCCCCAGGCATGCCTTGAGCTCCTTCTGTGTACGGGACTTCAGAGGCGGCACCTGCTCCCACTTCTGAGCCACCCGCTGCCTCTCAGCACTGCTGGTAAACCCAGTTCCTGCCTCGGCCAGGTCTCCTTCCCTGGTTTCCAGTCACACAGAGCCAGGCAGCTTTCTCTTTCAGTCCCATAAAGGCAGCCTGTGTCCCTGGCCACACCTCCACCCGCCAGGGTCTTCCTCCCCGTCTTCCATCCTTCCTGCTGAGCTTCCACAGAGCTCGTTTGCAAACAGTGGGATTAAAGCATCACTGCGCATTCAAAGGCCTGGTTGCCGTCTCTTCCTTCCCAACACCAGAGTGCATGAGGTGCCTGCTGAGGGGTGTGGGCTGAGCTGTCCTGGGCTCCATGCCCTGATCATTCTCCAGCTGCAGCAGCCCAAGGGCTCTGCTGTGCTCACTTGGGTCCCATTTGGGGGATGAGTGTCCTGGATTTCTAGTCCCAAAGTTACACAACAGAAGGAATCATTAAGGAAGTGAAAGTCCTGCCCCACGTGTTCGTAAAGGTGGCCCAGGCCAGGGGAGGGAGTCACTCCCCAGCAAAGGAGTCGCTCTCAACACATTCCTGTCCCAGAGGCCACTGGCACTGGTCATGCGGAGGCACCAGATGAGGCCTAAACTGTCCACTGTCACTACTCATGAAATGAGATGGCCACAGAGCCTGGCCAGGGCTGACCTCCCTTCTGCCAGACCCATGGGTCTCTGTGAGTTTCCGTGCTGGGCTCTGAGGGGAGAAGCCTGGGGCCTCCCATACGTGAACATTCTCAGTCAGGTGTCCTACGACCATGGACCCAGAAAACGGCCTCCGTCTGATGTACCTTCTGGAAAGGGTGCACAGCTACCGGCTGTGCACAGGTACACGCAATCCACCCCACTCCACCTTCCCTTCTGGCAGAGGGAGGGAGGCAGGCAGGCTGAGAAATACGGGGGCTGAAGGCTCGTGTCCCCGCAGCGTGCACAGACCACCACAGCACAGACAGCAGCACCCGCAGGTGTCACTCCGGCCGATGGAGCTTCTCAGCAAAGGTGCAGCTGAGCCACCATCGACAGGCTGATGAGGCAAACTGCAGGTCACGCCCAGGACGGGGGAAAAGGCCGTGGAAAATGGTGTCTGATTCAGGGGGTGAGACGACTCCTGATTAACATAAGGAACAGCTTGTGAAGGACACATGCAGGAAGGCTGAGGGGAAGGCGCGTGACAGCCCTGAAGAGGTGAGGGTGAAGGCAGGTGCCGAGCAGACAGGTCTGGAGGGAACAGCCCGGTAGGGGAGGCACAAGGATCCCACACCCAGATCATCGTGAAGGACCCCAGACACGTGCAGCCGGCTGGGAGGTGACGAAACGGACACCCAGGCTCTCCCAGGGGTGTTGGAGGGAACCACAGTGGGGCCGGAGCCATGCGCCCATGACCACCCTGCATCCCGGAGGCCACCAGATGCCACGATGTCACCGGGGCAGGGTGGGGTTGAGGAAGCAGCCAGGATGTCACCGGGGCAGGGTGGGGTTGAGGAAGCAGCCACGATGTCACCGGGGCAGGGTGGGGTTGAGGAAGCAGCCACGATGTCACCGGGGCAGGGTGGGGTTGAGGAAGCAGCCAGGATGTCACCGGGGCAGGGTGGGGTTGAGGAAGCAGCCAGGATGTCACCGGGGCAGGGTGGGGTTGAGGAAGCAGCCAGGATGTCACCGGGGCAGGGTGGGGTTGAGGAAGCAGCCCCACCTCCATTTGAGGGACCTGAGACCAGGCCCCAACCAGACCCCAAGTGGCTCAGCTACTCTGGGTCTGGTGGAGGCCATGATGAAGGTTGAGTGCTGGAGAGTTGTTGAGTCCGATGACATGCATTTTACAAACGGCAAAAGTTGAACGTGTTCACCCCCAGTTGGAAATTATATTTTTGAGGCTCTAAGGCCAACATAACAAGCAATTTATAAAATGTACTACAAAGCCCCAGTGTCTGATCTGGCCTAGGTCGAGAGAGAGGCTGAGAACAAATAGTGCCCAGGGCAGCAGGCAGGGCCTCCTCCTCCAGCTGTTCACCCAGGACATCTGCAAAAGGGTGTCTTCCCCAGGTCCCATCCCAGGTGACCCACAAGCAGGGCCTCCTCCTACGACCGCTCACCCAGGACATCTGCAAATGGGCATCCCCCAGGTCCCATCCCAGGTGACCTAGACACGCATCCCCCCCACCCCAAGGCACGGTTGAGGCTGACACTGCTGCTGACCCCAGTGAATCCTGGAGGTAGGTCATGTGCTGGAGACAGCGCAAGGGGCATCCTCACCAAGTCCCACACACCCCAGGTAAGAAAAAGCGAAGCCTCCCTCAGTTCAAGGCACCAAAGGGCCTGGAGCTCAGAGCCCAGAAGGGGCCTCCCTAATAAAAATTAGGAGCTACCCAACCCCAGGAAAAGGGTTCACGAACGGGCACCAGGGTCAGAGGCAGCCGCGTGCTGAGGCTGCAGGACCACAGCCTCTCCACAAACACCCCTGAGACGGCTGGGGCCCTGCAGAGCTTCCCTCTCCAGGACTCCAACAAAAAGGGATCACAGGAACTGAACCGATGACCCAGATACATCCTGCAGTGAGAGCACCTCCACCCAAGGACAGGGGCCAGGTTTTTTAAGCAACTCAAGTCCCTCATACTCGGAGCAGTGCTGCCACGGAGCCAAGGTGCAGGCGGGGGTGGGGGGTGCCCGGATGAGGAACCCAGGTGTGAGGCCCCACAGCTCCTCCTCCCCCCTCAGCCACGCACCTGTGGGTGGTGTGGACTTTCCTTTTTAATCCTTTTTAAGGACAGATCAACAGATCAGCTTCCACCAATCCAAACAGCTGCTTTAGAAACCTGACTCACCCTTGATACCTGGCTGACGCTCTCCTTTTCTGAATTCTACCAAAGCGTGAGGGTTTCTGTGCTGGTCCCAGGCTTCTCTGAGTGACTTTATGACCACATCAACACGCCTCCACGGAAGGTGCCCCACGCAAGTCCCTCTTGAAGCTACACTCACGCCAGCCTCAGCACCACAGGGGCCAGAGCCCTGGAGCCTCTCCCATCTAACCCTGGACCCGACTGTCCTCCAGCAGCAGGACCCAGGGACTCAGGGTACCCCCTCTGTCCACTCCCACTCCCTGCATGTGGGCTCAGAGCACCCTGATCTAAAACGCCCGTTCACAGTTGTCACGTTTTAATTTGTTTTGGGTGAGAGTCCACAGCTGCTTTGCAAAGGCCCCAGGTAAGTGGCAGTCACCTGAATTCCACCCAGCAGCAGGTGCAGGCACCGCCACAGGCTACGCAGAGCTCCCCTGCACAGGCTGCTCCATGTCCTCCTCCTCCTGTCCCCGGTTCCAACCCTTCAGCCCCTCGGGTAGGGACGTGTCCTCCTCCAGGCTGCCCATGCCTTCTACAAACTCCTCATACGTAGACTTCTCCGCAAAGGGCCGAGGGCCCAGCAGCTCCACCATGTCTGCCTTCTCCAGCACTTCCTTCTCCAGGAGTTGCTGGCCCACCTGGAAACAACGGCCCACCTGTCAGACAGCTCTGAGGACATGCTCACAGACCAAACCTAAGCAAACTCGAGGATGGGTGTGGCCTTCGGGTGTGGCCTGACCGTGACCCAACATGGGACCCACGACCGTCTGGGCAGAAGCCACACTCACCTTCTCCACATGCTCCCGGCACTGTGTCAGCAGGTCCAGGGTGCGCTTGTAGGCAGCGCTGATGAGGCACCGGACCTCCTCGTCAATGAGCTGGGCGGTTGCCTCACTGTACGGCTTCTCCACTGGGGCCTCGCCTTGTCGGGGAAAGTCGAAGGACACCTGGCCCAGCTTCTCACTCATCCCAAACTGCACAATCTGCAAGTGCGGAACCCAGGATGAGCCTGCGCCCAACATAGCCTCCTGCAGCCCGCGCTGGGGGACGCCCACCCTTACCTGGGCATACGCACTCTGGGTGACCTTCCTCAGGTCGTCCTGAGCCCCCGTAGTGATCTGCCCGAAGCACAGCTGCTCGGCCACCCGGCCCCCGAGCATCATGCACATGCGGTCGAAGAGCTGCTCCCGGGTATAGAGGTGCTGCTCCCGGGGCAGGTACTGTGCATAGCCGAGGCCCTTGCCCCGGGGGATGATGGACACCTGAGGACAGGACACATGCCCTCGTCACCCCAAACACTGTCCCCGCTTCCTCCAGGAGCCACCCTGGAGCGGCCAGGCCACCTGACCCTAGCTCTGACCACAGGTCCTTCTACTGGAACGTGAGAGAAGAGAGCCTGACCCAGGCCCCCCGTACACCATGGGGATGCCCCGAGAAGTGCACCCGCCTTTGGGGGCTTCACATGGAAACCACCTCTGCTCTGCCTGCCCTGCGGAGGCTCTGGAGGGGCCAATGGTGGAACCCAGAGCTCAGGAGTGAGGTGGGTTTAACACTGAGGCTGCCCCCTGGAGTCGCATGGCCGAGGCCCCATTTGGAACCCAGTGCTCTTCCTTCCCACCCCAAAGGGTTCTTCTGACAAATTCTAGAGCAGTATGTTCCTTAAAAAGTTAAAGGGCCAACCCTTGAATGTGCCATGCCCACATGACCACAGGTTGGCGCAGACATTCCAGGCCCCAGCCTGCCGGGCAGACTCACTCGGGGTGGGAAGACCAACCTTCAGCAGGGGGTCCACGTGCTCCAGGAACCAGGCCACCACCGCGTGTCCGGCCTCGTGGTAGGCCACAGTTGTCTTTTCACTAGGCTGCAGGACCTGGGTCTTCTTCTCAAGACCTACACATCACATTCCCAGGGAGTGAGGCAGGGCAGGAGTAGGTGGCTGGAAATGAGGTCCCTCCCTCTGAGCCCAGCCGTGTCTGCAGCTACACCTGATCCCCAGGCTTGTCTATACCAGACAGCAGAGGCCAAGCCCCAGCTCCATGCTGCCTTCTGCTTTGCAGTGAAACCCACATCCCACACACCTCACACGAAGCCTTAAAACAGGCCTGTTTGAAGCCAATGGGAACAGCTGCATGTGAAACACAGAAAGGCACCATATCCTCTGGTTTGACTAAAAATGACAGCACAGCATGACAGGACAGAGAGGGATGATTTCAGTGCCCTAACAGCCCAGTGTAC